TTTTCATGTAAAATTTAACTGAAACCAGTTCTAGCACATTAATGACAAGAGAAATTCTCCGGTTTATTATAAACATCCTTCAAGAAACCTGAAATGTGCATCCTCTGGAAACAATTTTGCTGGGATTTGGGTTATTATTAAAATCCTCTCAGAATTCTATCACTGGTGCCTAGTGTGCCTCAAAACCTTTTTCTGCCACCGATCAGAGAAGCACTCTTTTTGGTCCTGGCAGTATATTCTTGATCATGAAAACAGGGCTGGGAGATGGGGCTTCTTTTCCGACACAAGACAAACACTGAATAGGGCATGAAGTCTCTCTTAGTCCTAGGCTGACCACTGGGTAGAAGGCTAGTTCCTGAGACAGGTCTCCTCTCAATTATCATGGAATATAATAATCCCTCCTGTCCATTCTAGGTGCTCTGATCTTTCAGCAGGTTTACTTGAGACTTTAAACTCAAGAGCATCTCAAACAAGCAGGTCTTGGTCACACATTCCCTACAAGTGAGAATTCTCAGCCTGTGTGGAGTCATGGGGGATCACAGGACAGGGCTACCCCCAGCTGAGATGGAGACAAGCTATTTGGGAGAGGCTTTCAGGAATGAAGGAGAGTCACAATTCCCTTTAGAAGCAGATTCTCATGTGTAATTTTCTCTTTGTTCATTTGATAAGAAAAACCCACCATTCTCCTAAGTGGGTTGAACTATCTTACAAAAATGTAGCTAAGTCCCCTCCACAGGTGACCCAAAAGGAGCTGACTGAATTTGATAAGTAATTCAGAACTGCATTTCTCAAACTTCAATGTTCCTCAGATTTATCTGGACTTTTGTTAAACTGCAGATTCGAGTTCAGTAGGTCTAGTGTGGGGCCTGCATCTCTACAACTCCCAGGTGATGCTGGTCTATTGACTACATGTAGAACAGTGAAGACTTAAAGCTCCAGTCTCAGATCTCTGTCTTCAATTGTTCATTCACTCCACACACACTCTGCAAATTCTAGGTGCCCTACTTGGAAAAGTAATGAAGAGGATAGGTCCTCACTGACTTTAAAACTAGTGTTAATGAAAATGTAAAACTTATGTGTATCAAAGGACACAATCAAGAGAGGGAAAAGGCCACCTACAAAAATTTGCATATTATATATCTGATAGGAGGTTAATATCCAGAATACATAAAGAAATCCTACAACTCAATAACAAGAAACAACCTGATTAAAAAATGTGGAGAGAACTTGAATAGACATTTCTTCAAAGAAGACATAAAAATGTCTGAAGGGAACATAAAAAGATGCTCAATATCACTGGAGAATATCATCAGGGAAATGCAAATCAAAACTACAATGAGATACCACCTCACACCCACTAAAGTGATTATCAAAAAACAGAAAATAACAAGTGTTGGTGAGGATGTAGAGAGATCCAGATGTGCACTGTTGATAGGAATGGTAAAAATGGTACAGCTGGTATGGAATACAGTATTATTTCATTTCCTCAAAAAATTAAATACTAAAAATAGATTTCACTCCAGCAATTTCACTTCTAGGTATATATCGAAAAGAATTGAAAGTAGGGACTCAGAGAGATATTTGTACATCCATACTCACAGCAGCATATTCCCAATATCTAATATGTGGACACAATCCAAGTGTCTATGGATAAATGGATAAGCAAAATATAGTATGTGCATACAATGAAACTTTATTCACCTTAAAAAGGAAGGAAATTCTGATACATGTTATAACATGGATGATCCTTGGCAACATTATGCTAACCAAAATAAGCCAGTCACAAAAAAAGACAAACACAATATAATTCCAGTTATATGAAGTACCTAGAGTAGTCAAACTTATAAAGACAGAAGTACAAGGTTGGTTTTCAGGGGATGGGGGAGGGGAAAGTGAAGAGTTGTTAATGAGTACAGAGTTTTGCAAGATGAAAAAATTCTGGAGATTGTTTGCACAACAATATGAATGTACTTAACACTAATGAACTGTACACTCGTAAATAGTTAAGATAGTAAATCTTATGTGTATTTTAGCACAATTAAAAAAAAAAAACAGTTCCAACTGTTTGTACTATCTAAAGTGTCTACAGTATATATAGCCTTCGTAGTATCAGAAATGTAGAAGTCATTTGTAAAAAGGAACCACATGGGTCCAGTGGAGGAGAAAGTCAAGTCAGACAGATAAACATGATTTCAATGTGGAATGAGAAGTGCTAAAATACAGGTAAGGCCAGGTGCTGTGGGAGCCCCAAGGAGAGGCCCTGATATCAGATGGATGGGGAGGCAAGTAGGAGGAAAGCTATAAGCTTGGGTACGTAGAAAAATAACAGACAGGCTTTGGTCACCAGTAGACATGGGAGTGAAGGAGGAGGCACCTAGATTCTGGATGAGACAGCCATGCCCTGAAGCAAAGATTTCTCAGATGGAGCAGGACTAGGGAAGGTAACGAGCTCAATATGTGCTGGGGTAAATTTTGGGTGCATGTGGGCCCACTGGGGGAGTGTCTCATAAACAATCAGAAGAAACAGTCCAGAATGGACCTGAAGACCTGGGTTGGGTAACACATGGCCTGCAAAGGTGGCTACTGTACCTGTGAGAGTGTTGATTCTCTGAGGCAATGTGGTCAAGAAGAGAACCCCGAAGACAGCTAATATTCTGGAGAGGTGGAGGAGGGGAGCCAGCCTGACCTTCTGGGGAGGGGCAACAGCCAGGAAAGCAGTCAGCTGGGGCGATGTCAGCCAGAGACAAGGGCATCGGTGCATCAAGGAGTAAGAAATAACAGATTAACTGAGAAGTGCCATAAGAATTGGCGATGGGAAGGTCATTGGCATGCAGAAGCATAATTTTAATGTCCGGATGAACCTGGATTTGTGAAGAAATGGGGCTAAAGAGGCAGAAGGTAGTAAGTGAGCCACATCTTGTAGGTGAGTGGCAATCTGTGAGAGGATAGGAGGGTGCAAGGCAGAGCCCATGGGGCCACTGGTAATAGGACCTAGACCTGTGGGGTACTAGAATGGAGCAGGAGACAGATGATAACAGCCCACCCGCCCCATGCAACTCACAGGAAGCCATACTTCATCCTGGATACAAGGAGGAGCCAGGAGAGTATTTTAAGCAGGGAAGTGACATGGTTAGAATTATGTTTTAGAAAAACCCCTAGGCAGTAATGTGGAAGATGGATTGGAGTGGGAGAGCCAGGATACAAGAGGCCCACCAGGAAGCTTGTAGTTAAGCCCATGATGTTCCTGATTTTTCTGTCTTCAGTCTTTTGCTCATAAGAGATCGTCCTCTCCTTAGAGAACAAGGGTGACCCTTCCAACTAATGAGTGTTATACACGAGCAGCTTAATGAGGGAGAGGACAGCAAGCGATCTTCAGTGAAGAGGGTATGGATGCTAACTGAAGCAGAAGGGGTGTATAAAATTTCATTTAGCCTAAAGGACAGCACTCTCTTCTCTTTTAATTAGTTTTAGGATACTGACTACCATCCTCTCCAACTCACATTTCCTGTTGCTATTCTCCTTTCAACAGTTAGGTCTTGCCTCTATGTCACAGAAACTGTTTGTTTTCTCTTCCTCCACTGGGTTTCTAAATCAATAACTGATCTAATACAATAAAAATAAATCAAATGTGCTTCTGGCTTTCTCTGTTTCTTCTGAAACAAGGAAGCAGTGGCAGCTTTTCCTGGAAGTGTGTGAATTAGCTCAGTAGGTACTGGGACCTCTGCTGTGGGGCCGCTTAGCCATAGAGCGAAAATGGGGGTTCCCGGAAGGTTTCAGCTGGCTTTTGAGCCAATGTCCACCCCTACCCCCAATTTAAAAGAAAACTACACATTTTGAGTTTTGCGAAAGTGTTCCCTGGCCCCTAAAGGGATGAAAAACCATTGATATATTAGAATGACTCACTTTCAATGTTTAAAGGTTATTAGACAAACTGATTACATTCTCCATCAGAAAGAGCCTGCATGATCAGTTTGGCCTCATTATCTGATTGGCTAACTTTGAAAGCAGGTTGTTGTACTTGGATGCTTTGTTAAAAAGGGGGTGGGTAGTGTTGATACCTTGATTATAAAATATTTAAAATATTTTTTTTGCCTCTTTTTTCCTTTGAGTACTATCATTTTTTTTTAAGCCTTCCAACCACTATTAGTCTCTAGAACATATACTTCTTGTTAAACACCATGTTATCTTGGAAACAAGAAAAAATTACCATTTGTTAATGCTTTGAGGGTGAAAATGCAAGGACACAGGCTTATCGTTTTTGTCTGGAGTCTGAAGGGTTCACCAGGAGTTGGTGTGTGCAGCTGAGATGACAAATGGAGCCCATAAAGTACCTAGCAGAGGAGCTGGCACACAGTAGGTGTTCAATAAATGGATGTTTTCCCTCCCTGTCAATGAGTTAGTGGAGGCAGCGGTCAGGTTGGTTTCTTGGGGTGAGCATGTGTCAACATCACTCTGGAAAGAGGCACCGTGGAGCTCTGAGGCCTATGACTGCTCTGTTTTAGAGATTGTGGCAGAATGGAACAATTACAGAATTAAATACCTACACCAGTACCAGGTTCCCAAGAAAAGATGACTCCGAGTTATTTTCTAAATTACCCACCAAGGTCTTTGTGAGTCAACAAGTAGCTATTGATTTTATTTTCAGTGACCATCAAGACTTATTGATCTGAGAGATAAATATCGATCAAATTGAGACTGAGTTCAATTCTGGCCTCCTGGGAAAATAAATCTTAATATTAACCAAAACCTACAGATGCTAAATCTGATATTTTTCCTTCTGCACTGCTGGTCAGACAGAGGCCCATTTGAAGTCAGCTCTTTACTTTATTGTGAATTGTTATAGGTATAAACTGGTTTCCAAAATGATTTGTTTCTGGAAAATTTGGGACAAAAGCACCAAGAACTTTCAGCATGTTTTGAGTCAATAAAGGTACCACTTGGACACCCTGAAGAGTTCAAAGGTTGAGAGGACAATAAAAACACAGAATTTAATTACTTACCAGGGCAACTTTCCTTTGTGGTTTCAGCAGCTTCGGTTTATGGAACGTGGCAGCTATGGGAGCTGTGGAAGTATGTCAAGGGTTCAGCTTGCAAGTCATTCTAGGACTCTTAACATCCACATATCATGAACATCACAGACATACTCTGTGAAGACTCATGGACCCCTTCCTCTCCCCATGGAAGAACTTCAATTTCTAATCTAGGTATCAGTGGGGGCGATCCTCCCTTAGTCTTTGGACATGTCATCCTCTCTCCTCATCGAATTAAACAAAAGAACTGTATAAAACACTGCCCTTTACAAAGAAATCAGATGTGCAGGTGAGAAACAGGTGCAATTGGTAAAGGCTGAGGCTAGGACATTCCCTGAGCTTCACACCAACAGCACACTAACACCGCCAGTAGTGACCTTTGACCCTCAAGGCAGCCCTGATTGGTCATCAGGGTGGGTGGAAACGTAGGAAGAAACTAAGACTCTTAAGAGAAGAGGAAATTGAAGCTTCCTCAATGTCATGTAACTAGTATTTAGATGATTTTGGACTTGAACTTGGCCTTGAAAGTCAGACAAACCTCACTTCAAAGCCAAGCCTTACTACTTAGTTCTTTGAGTCTCACTTTCACCTTTTGTAAAGGAGGGTATTATCTACACTGATTGAATGAGACAATATGGCAGCTTATTGCCTGGACCAGGCAGGGGTTCTCTGCCCCATCACCTCCCCAGATCTACACTTGTTATGTCTCGCAGAACACCATGCCTTCCAGCCCCTCTGCCCACCCAACATATGTGCAGCTTTAGCACCTAGGGAACATCCTGTGAAGCCCTCACTGAGGAAAAAATGTATCTTGCCTTGTTATTAAATTATTCACTCAGGCAATCCTAGTACTTCAAACTATATTTTAAATTCTTTGAGGTATGAACTTCTCCTAAGTTGACCAAAGTTATTTTAGAAACTATCTATAGATGATCTTAGTTCTCCTAAGATGTGTGTAGTTCTCTCTTCCAGTTCTCTCATTTATGGGGCTCTTAAGTCATAACTGGACTCAAAAAATAACCCTTATTTTATCCTCAGAACAAATCCAAAATAAATTATGTATCTGGTTTACATCTTTAGAACAGAGCCTTTTTCCCTTGAATGAGCAAAGAAAATGATGACACACCCTTGCCCCACCCCACTATGTATAGAGTATGTTGATAGTTCAACATGAAATACACTGTGTAATCAGTCGGTGGATGCTGGGCCAATGGCATGACCCCAACCTCAGCCCAGGGACAAAGCTCAGTTATGACTAGAATCTAAGTGGGGTTCTGCAGACTGTGTAATCATTGGATGTCAGGTCCTCCACCTGCCTACTCTCCTTGCCCCAATCCCACATCAAACCCCAGACTCACTTTCCGGATCAGTCATGGTATTTTCCTCATGGGTAATTGTAGGCTAGCTTCCTACCTTTGGCAGGGACTGCAGGAGGAATATCAGCCTTCTCCTTCCGCCTCTTCCCCTTCTTGGGCTGCAACGGAGCCAAGCTGGTCATGCTGGTGACAGTCTCCCCCGAGCTGTAGAAGAAAAACATCCTGGTGAAGGCAAAGGTAGGTTTGTTCCAGGGAAAAGGAGAGTAAATAATAGTTTCCAAGTGTTCCCTGTGTACCTGTGTAAGGTAGGGGTTATCTTACAGCTGGACGGGAATTGATTGCTCTTTGCTTATCTCCAGGGATATCTGGAGGTCTGGTAATGACCCTTGGCTGAGATAATAACAATGAGATGAGCTAGTTATTGATTTATAATGTGCTGTTCAAAGTTCAAAAATCCCTGGATACACCCAGGGCCAGCTTGTCTACATTCCTTAGGGATGTACAGATTGATGGTTTACACCTGGTTCCATTGGTTACACAGTCTGGATTGGCTACATCACCAGTACAGTATTAAGATATCACTAGAAACTTAAGCTCCCCTAAAACCAAGATTCCTTGCACATATCTTTGTGGTTCACAACCCCAAAACAGAGCAGCTCCTGTGCAAGTGAGAAAAGACGCTGGGGAGCTGCACCCGGAAGTCCTAAGGGTCCCTATGATTGTTTATGGTTTCTCTTCCTGCTGTTCCTTTATCTTCAGTACAGGCTAAGTGAGTTCAACTTCAAGAGTGTTGTTTTCAATTATCTGACCCTGTGTAATCATTGTATTGCTTTCTATGTGTCATCCATGATAACTCAAAGTGATGGGGGTGATAAACCTTATATTACAGGTAAGAAAACCAAGGCTCAGAGATGCTAAATTACTTGCTTTAAATGACAATGCCAATAAGCAGCTAATACGAAAGCTGCAAGCCCAGACTCTCCTGATGCGAAATCTGTTATTGACCCTACATGTAGGATAGAAGAGTCTGTATACTTTCTTGAATGGCCATCAGTCTTATTTCAAATGTATCTTATTGGCTCTAGCAACCCAGAGGGAAGCCCCTTTTAGAATCTCTTCTCTTCGGGTATATGTTCCAGCCAAGGAGGTACAATTACCAAGAGAGGTTATCTTTCTGATACATAAAGAATTTGTGAAAATCCATAGGAATATGACAAACTCCCTAATAATCAAAATGAATAAAGGTGGTAAACAGTTTTCACTTAAGAGGAAAGGCTCTTACCTATAAAACATGCTAAAACTCCCTCATGAAAGGAATCCAAATTAGAACACACTACTCCTCTTTTCTCATCATATCAGAATAGCAATGATCAAATTTAAGGCAAAGTTCCTCACACACTTTTGGCAAGGGTGTGAGGAATCGGGCACTCAGAAGTATTCCTGGTATGAATGTAAACTCTTCCTGATAGAGAAAAACTTGGAAATCAGAATAACTTGGGCTATCAGGATTACAGAAATTTATACCTTTTAACCTGGCAGTTTCACTTCCAGAAATTTATTCTGTGGGTATATATCTTTGCATGTGTATGAAACGTATGTATGAGTCATTACAGTGATGTTGGTAATAGCAAATAGATTGATGTTGGTAATAGCTAATAGACAACCCAACTGTCTATTAGCAGGGGACCGGTTAAGGAAGTTCTAGTGAATCCACACATGGGGTTCTCTGCGGTTGTAAAGAGGAATGAAGAATTTCTTTGTACTGATAAGATTGTTAAGTGAAAAAGTTAGGTGTTAGACAATGTGTAAAATATGCTACTTTTCGCATAAAAATAGGGGGAAATAAGAGTGTATATATTTATATATATATATAAATGTTTCTATATACATACATAAAAAATCTCTAGAAGTATTCATAGGAATTTTAAAATAATGGTTTCTTAGAATGGAGTGCTGATGGACTAAACAGATGGGAGACTGTATAGGAAAAATTATCATTATGTGTGTGTGTATAATTAAGTAATATTAAATTTTTAAATGCTAATTATTAAACCATATGATTGTATAATCTTTGAAAAACAGTAAATTAAACACAAATAAATATCAACACATATTTAATAAAAGAAAATTGGCTATTCTAATATAATCCTAGAATTTTAAAAGTAAATAAAGACTGAATCACACACATTGTGGGAAAAAGTCCAAGAATACAGTTTGAACTGAGATTCCCTAAAGATGGCTTATTTTTATTGGGAACAGAAAGTTTAACTGGCTATTGCTTTAGAGTACAAGAAGAATGATGTAAATTTACAAATAGCCAAAAAGAATGTGTCTACAAAACTCTGATTGCTAAGAGAAAAAAGGGATTAGAAACTCAGAATTGCTCAAATATACAACCGCAGGTATAGCTTCATTTCAAAGTTTTTAAAACTCTTAAAATGTTTTTTCTTCCAATATAAATCATAAATTAATGCATGTCCTGTTTTAAAATGATAATTACAGGCATGGAGACAGAAGAAAATAAATATAACCGAAACATAACCTTTGTAAATACATAACACAAATCTTCATTCCTAGTCTTTTTCTTGTACTTTTTAAAAATAAACATTATTTTTAGAGGTTTAGGTTCATTGCAAAATGAGATTTCCCATATACCCCTGCCCTCCACACCACATGCATAGCCTCCCATATTAACAATGTCCCTCACCAGAGTGGTATATTTGTTATAATTGATAAAACTACATCGATATATCATTATTACCCAAAGTCCACAATTTATCTTAGAGTTCACTCTTGGTGTTGAATATTCTATGGGTTTATACAAGTACATAATGTATCCACTGTTGTAGTATCAAACAGAATAGTTTTGCTGCCATAAAAATCCTCTGTGCTCTACCAATTTATCCCTCCCACCCCTCAATCCCTGTCGATCACTGATCTATTTATTTTCTCCATAGTTTTACCTTTTCCAGTGTGTTATATAGTTAGAATCATACAGTATGTAGCCTTTTCAGATTGGCTTATTTCACTTAGTAACACACATTTAAATTTCCCCCATGTTTTTTCATAGCTTGATAGTTCATTTCTTTTTAGTGCTGAATAATAGTTCTCTGTCTGGGTGTACCAGGGTTTATTTACTCATTCACCTACTGAAGGATGTCTTAATTGCCACGTTTTGGCAATTAAGAATACGGCTGCCATAAACATCCACATGCGTGTTTACGGGTAGACATGTTTTCAACTCTTCTGTTTTTATACATCATTTTTTTTTAACCATGTTGTATTTCAATTTCACACCCTGCTTTTTATTTAATCTACACCTTCCTTACTGTTACATTTTCATACTATTCCAGTGAGAAGATATGCTACAGTTTACTTAGCCATTCCCTAACTTCTATACATCTAATTTGTTTCCCAGTTTGATGTATAAATACATTGCTATAAATATATTTGTGCGTAATGGTTTTCCATTCCTAGACTTTTGTTTTTAGGTTGAATTCTTAGAGCTAGAATTACTAGTCGACAGACCATTTCAAGGCTATTTAATACCCACTGTCAAAATGATTCATGACAAGTTAGTATTACTTTACAGCCACTCACTGAGCAAATGAAGGTATTTATGTTTTCATCATCTTTAACATCAGGTTTATCAGCTTAAAAAATTACTTATTTAATGAAGATAATTGTGATCCTCTTTTACTTGCAATTCTCTGATTGCTAGTGAGGATGAACATTTCCTGTGTTTGTCTAATTGTGTCTCCTTGTTTATGAATGATGTATGGGCATCTTTTGCTCTTATTTACTAGGATCTTGAGTTTTTCTTACAGACTTTCACGCATGCACCTTTCACATCAGTCTAACGTGTTTATTTCAAACACTTCCCCCAATTCCCTTTGAATTTTAGCTTTTTGTTAAATACATGGTAATTTTGTTTTCCTTTGCTAAAACCATTCAATATTTTCTTTCTGTCTATCTATCACCTCTGAGGTTAGATCTTCCTCACCAGCTGCACTTCACTCTGAAGAATCAAATAATATTTCCCCTTCCTGTTCATTTTTCTTAGATATAATTCTTTAGCTCTTTAATATAAAATTTTTGGGATATCAGTGATATGAACTTAGGCATTCATGCCCAGGGCTTTTAGTAAACTGAAAAAGATCTGCTTTGTCATCACCATTTTCCTTCAAAACAGTAAAACTGCACTAAATTAAAATTAGTTTTAAGTCATACTTCAACAATGGAAATTATTACAATGAGTTATCACAATGACATATAATAGACAATTTTTCCCTCAGAATTTTATGTCTCCCATTAAGTCAGCAGGGCTGGTAGGAATTTCTGACTAAGAAAGCCCATTTTATGACTCACTTACAAGAAAGTTATTCTACATTTTAGTTGGAACAAGACTGTATTTTGTCTTCGACACAAGGGAGTGTTGCTGGAGCCAGTCAAACCAAGGGAAATAGGAAATAGGCTGGGAGTTCTGTCTAAATTAGAGAGCTGTGTGATGAAGGAAGTGCTATTTGTGGGGAACAGGGCTGTCTTTCTGGCTCCACAAGGGTGGGGCGCACATGTGAAACCTGTGTTGTGACATGTATGAGGTTCCGGCCTGGCTGCCTCTTATAGGAGACTTCATCTCACACAGGCTGGGCACCTCTGTTTCATGGAACGTGGTGGCCAAATTTAGAGAATGGGCACTGGACCAAGGATAGAAGGTCTGCACTAAAGCTGGTTCCACTCTGAATAGAGAAATGATCCTGGGCAAGTCACTCACTTTCCCAAGCCTAATCCCACAACCTATAAAATGATATATAATCTTGCCATCTATCTCGCAGGGTTATTATGAGGGTCAGATGAGACAGTGTAGCCTGATTTAGACGGGATATGAAATGGCTAAATAGCACTGACCTTAACATCCCCTATTTGGGTGCAGTGCAGTACATTTCTACTCAGGGAGAACAATGTTGCCACTTGGGTATCTCATGTTCCATGTCTTGGCCCTGAGGGGAGGTCTGCAAGTTTCAACTTAAACCTTGGTGAGATAGTTTTTCTGCTCAAGATAGTATATTATACCCTCCCATTGACACAGATACAGCAGTGCTGTACAAGTACCAGCACAGGAAGAGCAGGCATGGAAGGAGAGACCCTGAGCAGTAGATGGCTGGTCTCAAACACCAGGTAAAGTGGGCACCCTGGGTTTTGCC